ACCCCCCCCCCCACCACCCCTTCCCACCCACATCTGGCAGCAGCCAAAAAATCTGTGCCATACCATTTGGACGAGAGAAATGGTTAAAACTCCCAACATGTTATGTTTTTCACTCGGACCATACGCCCATTCTATCGAATTGTGCTAAATCCTATTAACCTAATAGGTGCTTGCTCTCGAAGTTTCTCGGATTTCGTAAGTCCTTCCAATTTCTTAAGCTGCAAAACGCTATAGTTATCACTTATGTCCAAATCATCATCGTCGGAACTGAATATATCTGAGTTGGCGGAGTTATCAGTGGAGCTAGATTCGTCTGACCACTCCGGAGTAAAATCTCTGTGTAAAGGTTTCGTGAAGTCATATACCGCTCGCCAACTTTCTTCCGCGTCCGTTTCTGAGTCACTGGTGTTGACATCACTATCATTACAAGTCGTATACTCAACATGATCATCATACAAATGTTTTTCCTCCTTGACTTGGCTAAACTTGAGGTCATTAGAAAAATCAGTCTCCACATACTTTGTATTCTGCACACGATTTGACCGTTTTAACAAAGGTAATTTCTGATTCGCATACGACTCTTGTTTTCCTCCTAATTTTCCGAAGCCGATTAGTCGAATAGGGTTGTCATTAGAGATGATATGAAGGCTTCGCAAGTCATGCGCTATGCTGCGTACTTCATCTTCTTCAACTTCCGACTCCGTAGATTTTGAATCATTACTCGATATACTTCCGGATCTCTGAGAGCATAATGGACCGGAGTTCGTTGTGTCATGAACGACATATTCATGGATATTGCTAGCTCCTGACAGAAATAATTCCCGTTTGTCAAAATGTGTGTCTTTTTGATTTTCGTCTTTGGGAATGACGCAATGTTCACCCAAAGGATGTTTTATGTTTTGCTCTTGTTTACTAGACTTACAAGATGGAAAGTCCTTTGTGAAAATGGATTTAGTTGGAGGAGGTGTCACTTTGTTTGACGTAGCAGAACATGTTGGTGTCAGTGTAGTTGATGTATGATCAGTGGTCCCATTGCTTTCATGTGGCGTGTACTTTTGCTTTCGAGAATTCGACAAAACTTTTCCCTTTTTCGAGGACGCGAGGAACTTTGGTTTCTTTATCTTCATATTTAAAGCTTTTGTAAATACAAAGGTTTTTTTCGATCGTTTTCTTGATTTAGGGTTTGGTGACGTCTGTTCTGCAGTCGCTTCGTTTAGTGCATCATTTGTGCTTTTTGAAGGAAGGTTTTGAAATTGTGAAGCAACTTTTGTTGTTTCGGCACAACTTGGTTCAACATTTGTTTCCATATAAACCAAACGAACTATTGGAGATGGTGTTATAACTTCAACCATTTCAAGTTCAGTTAAAGTGGCGGTACGGCCGGCTTCTCCAACCCTCCTAAACTCCTCTTCGGAATAATTGTCGGTTGAAATATCATCCGAATCAGACGAACTTGATGACGTTGTCACACTTTCATTTTTGGCATTCGTAATTTTGATAGCGTCTACATATGATTGGAATGGAATTGTAAGATCACACGTTGCGCTGGCTGATTCACTGTCAGAATCACAATCTGCAGTAGGCCTATTTGTTTCATTAGTAACATTCTCAAATTTGCCGGTACTGATTGTATTGTCACCAGTGACCTCTTTTACTGATTTCCTGCCGCTCTTCCTACCACCAGTGGCAGACGATACGAGGCTGCGTAGAGCAGTCAACACAGTTTTTTCGTTTTTGTTAAAAACTTTTTTCTTTGCTTCAGGTTTTTTATTCCCACTGTGGCTTGGTTCTTTACTATAAGTATAAAGTGGGCGCTGATTTTGACGAGGCCAACTGTAGCGGCACTTCCCTGTACGACAAACGCATCTTAGTTCAAGATCATCAAATGTATTACTGAAAGACAGAAGCCTTGGCCTCTCTAAATGTTGAACAACGTCTGAAGAATATAAGTCTCCGACTATCAGATCGACTTCGTCGGTAATACTAGATTGTTCAGTATTTGAATCTGAATCAGAACTTGAAGAGGCTGGTGGGCGTGGCATTGTTGAAATTGCTACAGAGGGATGATTTTAATGACTTTGCATAGTCTTCCAATCTGAAAGATAAAAGCGTAGCTAGTGATTGATTTACTAGTCGTAAATTAAGGCTATTATCAAAATGAACTATGCATGCTACACGGCATAACGATTGGATGGTTAATTCGTATGAGCATGGAGGTATAAAATATATTCCTCCATGGTATGAGCAATGATAAGGCCACAGGTTAAACGTTATACGTAGGCCATTATCATTATTGTTTATCCTACGTTAACATTAGAAAAATATTAACATAACTTACCTTGTTGTTGCTGTTAGATTCGATTAGCAGGTCTCTCCTACACTGGACGTCTAAATCGATGTAACTTCTGCTGGTATATATAATACAATTGCACTGCGGTATGAGTTTTGCAATTGGTTGCGGAAACGTTACTTGTCTGGATATAATGACTTTGGTGTATTACTGTTATTCCTTTGGTGATTAGTCCTTTCCTTACATTGATGAAACGGTACATTGTTGTTAACGGAAACTATCGAAACAGATAAGCCTTCTGATCATCGAATTGCGAAATAACATATCGAAACAAAAATGAGCTTGTACATAAATAATGACACAATTCTTATCCAGGAACAGGTTTTAGGTTGAACATTGAGACGTGTGTGTTTTTGACGAAATATAATTTTGTTCTTGAAACCTGAGGCGAAGGTCACTCACTGGCTGGCTGTCCAAAAATGCCAGTAAGTAGTCCACGTGGTATTGTTTTCAAATCGTCGAAAACTGGCGTTTTTCCAAACACTCAGCTGACTCAGGCAGGTTAAATATTAATGATGCGTCACCATTCCCAAAGGCCAGTAACTTCAATCGTGTGGCCTACCCTATAGCTTGAGTGGCGAATAACTTTATATCAGTAAAACAATGAAAGAGATCATAATGTTGACCAATTCTCATTTTAGTGTGTCATTGTCCTACTCCTGGTGTGGAAACCTACACACGATATAAACACTATACATACAAGAAGCTAAAAAAAATAATAAAATAAAATTTAAAAAAAATTAAAAAGCAAATATAAAAATAAAAATTGTCGTGAATGCGCCTGCACAATTCTACACCCAGTATGCACACAATGTACGTAATACACCATTGCTGGTGGTCTATCTAAAATATTGGAAGAAGAAGAAGAACGTTTTTTTTTAAATTTAAATTATTTTAAAGTTAAAATTGTTTCATTTTTTTGGTTCTGATCAATGCTTATTTATTTTGCTGTATATTTATTTTTGTATTTCACTAACTTAGAAAATTGCATTCTGCATTGTTTTATTTAGGTTGACCTATATTATTTATAATTGTATTTGTTAAACTGGGTGAGTGACATTCACTGACTTTCTGTAATAGTGATTATGTGCGTTTGTGTTACGGTGTCGACTCGATGATTGTGATGGGGCGCTAGGTCACAAAATAAGTTAGCATGAGGTCATTTTTAACTACTTAAGCGTGATTGTTTTTCTTCGACATTTTCAAATGTTGGGGAGGGGACTGGGGCGTGAGCTATTTTTGGGGAGGGGTCCGTTTCCCGCGCACCCCTCACTGCAAGTTCTCAGCGTAGCCTTGAGCGTAAATTCACACAATTGTGGGTATATATCTGAGAACAAAAACAGCAGTGATTGAAACCATGGACATACATGTAGCACTAACATGTATATCTGATGAAACCTTTTATATAGGTTTACAAGCCTCGGAGGAATGATTGTTTTAACATTTATGAACTTCAGGGTCATCTGCCTATGTCTTGTTAAACACGTGGAGATGTTTTGAAATTCTTTTTGAAAAGTTGGCGTTTCTCCAAAGGTTTTGTCATGCATCAACTTGGAGATTCACATGTGATGAGACAATGTGTAATAAGATTGACCTGAAATCTGGTAAACAAATTCCCAGGTACAGTATATAATAAGGGCCTACACTGTAAAGGTTAACTTAAAATCGGAATCAAAATTACCACCCTGGCTTACAGTACATTAATCTTAATAGTAGCAAAAACGTTTGGAATTAATGCATTTTTCCGTCGATGGCGCAATCACGAAATTGGCTTTAAATCAAATTATTAATGTTGGGATCGCGAAGAATAGTACTGGAAATTTTACATTTTTGTAGGGAAAACTCAAAATTTTCCCAAACCGCAATCATAATTCTCAGGCCTATATTGTAGATTAAATCTTAGAACGCATTATCGTAGGGAAATAAACTCATGCAGTAACACTAATAAACAGCACCATCACCCACAGATCATGCAAGATATATTATTATGGTCAAATTTGGGGAAAGGGATAGGGGTGTGGCTAGCAAGCTTCTGAAATATGTCTCCTTTTTTTAGTGATAGGCCTAAGTAATAATTGATTAATAATGGCCCTATTAAATTACATAATGTGTCGAGAATTAGGGCCTTTTAGTCCCTGTGCCTTACATAGTACCGTACAACGTGAAGGCGATGGAAATTGGGAAGTAATTCCGAAAGCTTTTATAGGCCTAATAATAGCCTATTAAGTCTATTATTATAATTTCCCCACTCTCCTCCATATGCAAGTGAAACGTGACGTGCAAACCCTTTTCCAGTACCGTACCAGAATGTTAAAAATTGTTTACCTAGAAAACCCTGAACTTTACAATGAACTAAGCGCGTAAATCTTATATAGCTTCCGCCGGGCCTCACCTTCTAGACATCGACAATTATAGGACACAATTTTTTATTTCATCATACCTTGTTTAACATTTTAATTAATGCGTCATCAAAGTTGACATAATGCTATGTAAACTTGGACCATTTAACTTTAACTTTGCTCGTCTTGTACCATTTGACATCATGCATGCGTATCTTGTGCCAGCATGCGTCGCTCCGATGTCACCGGATGAAAACAAATGACAATAATTATTTAGGACTATTTATTTTATTTCTTTCAAGTACTTATGTGCACTTCACAATTTTATAAAGGAACGAATGCGGCATTTTACGAAGCCCCTGTGGTTAATATATCCAACGTCCGATTCCTAGGGAGTGTTCCTGTCGTCGCAGTACATTGCGCATATGCATTTAGTGCAACAGCATCCTACCAGGTACTACCAATTTATATTTTCTGGTGGAAAGAGACAAAATGTAGGTAAAGTGACTTGCCTAGGGACACATCGAAACACGAAACACAAATTATAGGCTTAAACTTTCTAAATAAATCATATGAAGTTGTAGTCAATCAGATATGCCTAAATCTTCTATAATAAACAGAAAAGTCTTCTATTTCCCTTATTAATTGCATATCATGGTCACCATTATTTAGATATAGAAGATCATTAAAGTTTTAGTGACAGATACTACGAAGAGGCTGAAGTCTTGGCCGATAACCAAAAGTCCGGACAAAACAACCCAACCTACAGTACAAATTTTCCAAGATACAAGGATATCCATTTATATAATCATCAGCACATTTATAGTTCATGACTTATCTAAGTGTTTGTTATTCATTTTGTCAATTCAAAAGTTATTTATAAACAGCTGGAAAATATATATGCTACGGAGGTAACTGTATTTTAGTTTGCAATGGCCTTACAAAATAATAATGTATACGTTTACTTAAATAACTTGAAGTTTTTTGCCAATCCCCAATTATAGGCCCTATCTGTTACAGTTATCGGCATTTTTACGAAAATCACTGATTTTATTAAACAAGGAGATACATTTTTATTGATTACTGTAATACGATCATGTTTTTAGCTCTGGCGATAATGTAAACGCAACAATTGGAACAGAAGATATAATAATCCAATCTCATGTTTATTCACGATAGTAACTTTCATACGAAGAAACACCAATGTTAAGTCATCATGGGAACATCCAACGGTGTATTCCACTTCGGAAGGTCTTGGGTTCGAATCAAGATTTGGACAAACGTTTTTCTCACGTTCTTTTGTTAAAATACTGGCTCGTCAGCAGTACACAATCAATGTTTTTGTTGTCAACAAAATGTTTGAAGGCAGTTAGGCAACAAAGATGTGATGTACCAATATTTAATTTGCATAATTATTTTCGTAAAATTGCGATCATCAACGGAGGACATTTGTATATAAAATATACTTTACATGGCCATTTGGCTAGGTTTTTTAGGACAATTTGCAAATAGTATTTATGTTAATCCTATTTAGCGCATCATCCCAACAAGGTCCTTATGCGCCCTTTAAATTATTACCCAGTCATTGGATCAATCACCCATGATATACTATGGTTATGCATGACTGCACACAGTCATGTAAATAACCACCGTCCAAACTTAGGGTTATACACATTTAAAAAATGTCTAAGATCATATAACTAAAGATAATGCACTTCATCATATATTCTGTATTACAAAATAAGATTATTGCACCTTCTAGTGTTAAAACGAACTGGTCTGTGTTTTGGAGGCAGTACCCAGGATGGATACCCTTATAAATTAGAAGAGTGAATGCTGACAACGTTAAACTTTTTTTTATTATATATGTCCAGAAATATATTTTAAATGTCCATTTTTGTGTCATCAGAGGATTAAGATATAAGGAGCAAAACATGCAAAACTACAGCAGTATGAAGTTGGAGCTACTGGCACTAAAGTGGCTGTGGCAGAGAAATATCGTGATCTTCTATTGGATTCTGAATGTATGGTCTACACTGATAACAATCCTCTAGCTACTTTCAAACCACAATTAAACTGTGAGCTACAGAGAAACAATGGGCTGCTAAACTGGTCAACTTTAACATAACAATTAAATATTGATCCCGCAAAGTTAATCAGGAATAGGGAACATGGTCATGAACTCGGTGCAGGTCTGGAAGAAAAAAATGCTAACACTCACTTCAGCAATGCATATAAGGCACTACTTTGAGAGCCAGGTTATCCGTGACTGTATGATGTCTATGGGACAGCAAAAAGAGAACCACACAGTTGCAGTGAGAAACAAAATCATCTTTAAGAATGCACAACATTTGTTGCTATAGAAGAGGGACGTAAGAATCTATAAAGAAAACTCTGAAAACATAACAGGTAAAGGATACCCCAGCAACGGTGTACCAGAACAAAGCAGTGTTGTACTAATAACTTATGGTGGATCCAAAATAAAGCAGCTAGGAATAATAAGCATTAAAGCAGAACACAAGGGGAAACCCTTCACATGTAATTTTTTTGTTAATGAAACAGATGGACCAGCAATACTGGGAATAATATTAATAAATTATGAAATTTGAGAGTCAACAAGGAGAATCAATCCCATTTGAAATGCTAAAGAATGATATGTCATTGGTCAATAATGGAATATAGAGATGCTGAGCAAGGGCAAATCTGTCATCATTATGCCCTAGAAGACCTAACTGCCTCATTTCACAGACAAATAACTCTGGTGCATACAATAAAAGAAAACTAAAAATAACAATGACATACAATAAAGACTTTATAACAGAGTCACTGATACAAGAAAATGCTAGAGAATGAAGAGTAGAGTGACTCAAGCTGGTATCTTTTACATCAGACGTCAGTTATGGTAAAGATGCACTATAAGAGAGATCAATTAGTAAGCTCTCTTTATTGATAATCTGATGACTCTTAACTGAATTTATATAATTCTAGTAAAATGTTAGAGTGCAAAATGTAAAAAGGAGAGGGTAAGAGTGTAAAGTAATAAGTATAAGTACATATACAGTACAGCTTTACGTTGCATCTATGTATATATTGAGAAAATACATCACACTCACAAAGGTCGTATGTTTGATTTCGCCCCTTCCGTAAATGCTAATTTCTTTACAATTGGAGGTTGGGGACTGATAATTCATCCTGGGCTATATAATTTCAGAATCAATCACCAATCATTGCAAAATTTAATAGTAGCTCATAAAAGAAATAAACTCTTATGCTACTGCACACAGTAACTTTGTAGATTGAGGGTTAATTACCAATAGAATCTGTGACACAGTAACTTATAGTTTTTTAATGCTGTTAATATTTCTTTAGCACAGCAGATTATAAATTGTTAGACTACTGTACAAAAAAGCAATGTTCAGTCCAAATCTTAAATACAATATGTTTAAGCCAGGCTGATTGATTTTCCTCAAATGTCAACTTGCTATGTCACCTAAACTCATTGAAATTCAAGTACGACTGCAGTGACTTAGGCAAGCTCTGAATCGCACCTTTGAAGTAGCGTCTTCCATCTGACAGCAAAACTTTAATTTTCAAACGACACTGCTGTAAAAGTGACTGTGGATTATCTGAAAAATAGGCAAATGAAAACAGAAGTCTAAACTAAAACATACTGTAGACAACAATTACTCTATAAAGTCCTAATTTGCAACAAAACTTAAAAAAGTAAGCAATTTAGGTTGTATTTGAAAGGAAATTCAAATCAATTTATATATAAATGTATAGACACATGTATAATATAGATGTAATATATATGATTCTGTGTGTAGCGGTATATCTTTAACCTTGATGAGAAACATGATATTTTCTTATTTGGCCTATTTGGCCTAATATACCCAATAATAAGAAAATCTGTGTCACCTTCATAAAATTTTAAAATCCTGTATGAATCACTGTTTGGCTTGCAAAGCTCCGATGGTCTGAATTCTTTTGCATCTCGGTAGAAAACATCAGCACCAAACTTCAAAAGTAGCTCAACTAACTGTGAATGATCATTCAATGCTGAACAGTGCAGAGGAGTCTTGTGTCGGATGCGAGCACTAGGATTTGCGCCTAATATAAAAATAATAATTATTATAATGCAACATTTACATAGCATATTTTGCAATAGACGGAAATCTATGCACATTATCATCCCTGGTCACAGGATTAAACACCTACGGAATACATCCTCAGCTTCCTGGGAAGTACAATTCAAAAAGCAGCCAGAATCAGCACTTGGTATTGGATCCTACCAGGTACCCACTTATACTCTTGGGTGGAGTGAGACAAATGTACATAAAGTACCTTTTCCAAGGACACAAACAATTTGCACAGTGGGTCTTGAACCCCCAACCCCAAGTTCGAGAGTCCAAGCCACAATCATTGCACCTACTATTTCAAAATTTCAAGTGAAATAAAGTTACTTGTCCTAACCTAATAAGGAATAAAATAAAGGAAGGTATTTTCTGTATTTGGCCATCAGGCATTTGAAGCTAGTACTTATACGCCAGGGGTGAGAATGATAACTGAAGAATATGGATTTGAACCTTCGACCTCAAGGTTCACAAGTGTTGCGCCAACCACTTGGAAGGATTCTGTCCAAAAAATTGTTGTACTTCTTTTTAAAAGACTTACCATTAAGAAGCAATAATTTGGCACTTTCATATTGGTTGTTTTCACATGCAGCATGTAAAGGCGTTCCATGAATTGTTTCCATGGCATCAATTTTGGCTCCTGCACTGATTAGCACACTAACACATTCACGACGACCTGCAAAAATAAAATGATAGTACAGTATTAATATTGATTTTAATAATTATTATTAATAATATTCAATACAACAATATCAAGCAATAATGTCAATATTAAAAATAAAATTAACAAATAATTCAAATATCATATAATAGTAATAATATTAATATTGTGGCGGATTCGGCCAAGCAGTCTCAGTCTAGTCTAAGTCCTGCGTAAGTAAGTCTGTCGGACACGCCGTCAGGTAATACGGATCGACTATTGAATAAACTTCAAACAAAATTAACTGAG